CCCTTTTCTGCCATTTTTCTATGTCTATTCCATTCAATACCAGGCATTTTGGTGCCACAGTTTACTTAAGTAGGATCAACAGATCACCATGCATAACAAGAACAGCGGGTAAGCATATATTTGTGCAACTGTGTTTAAACATGTGCAGATGCCAAAACACTATAAAAACTGAATCCATGTATGCATATGCAGAGCCAGACTAGCTGTTTCCCCCCGTTTACAGATTTTAGCTGTGAACCAGATAATACACATTCTAGATGTAAACACACACATATGTAGCACGTTATTTGTGGATGATCACAGCAGACCTTCTTAATAATCATAAGCATCATGTGCTTCAAAAGGCTGTTAATCACAACCATTGCAGGTTGAGGGGTTTGGTATCGACAAAGTGAAACAGAATCAGTCATCTCAAATCAATGTATACTCAGTGGCCGCTTACAACTAGTTCACCTGTTCAATTTAATTTAATAATTCAATCAAATTGTCCTGTCAGAGGTTTTACTTTTATGATGGCTGTAATGTTCAGTTTTTGTTGAAACTGTCATAAAAGTGTTTTAATAGAGTACATACGTTTTTTTGCATATTTTTTTTAGCAGAAGTCATTTTAATGAAGATATTGTACTGGACTATCCTATATTTGGAGTTTTCTCTTGACCCCCACATATCTAAACATGGACTGCAAAGAATTAGAAACAACCTTTAGATCAATGCAGTTCAGCACCACTTAGCTGTGACCTCAATAACCAACATATAATTGAATATACACTCTTCTGACAATGTCAACAAAAACTGAACATTTTAACTTGAATAATAATGCATCTAATAAAGTGACCACTGAGTGTATGCTAACTATTGAATTTCCTTCCGGATCAATAAAGTATCTATCTATCTATCTATCTATCTATCTATCTATCTATTTAAAAACGTATGCAATTATTTCAGATTCTTATTGTAGTGAGAATCACAGGCCAACAATATCAGCAAATATTATACTAATTGAAGGATACCTTGAGTAGGATAGCCTGCAACCTCAACCCCATGGTTCGTCCCTTGGACTGGAAGAGGTTCAGAAGCTTGGGAGTGTATTCATCCAGCTTGGACATGAACTTTGATTCAATGTGCACCACTGTGATTCTGTGAAACTCATCCTCTAAAAGACAAATAATGAAACCAGCTTTAAAGCCAAAACAATTACAGTTGTACATATTGTTCTTGAAAAAAGTGGCACACCTCTGTCTTTTTCCAGTTCCCTTTACTTTAGGTGCAGGTGATCAATAGTTTTAATGACTGGAATTGGAATTACAAATCATCAAATTTAATGAGCAAGCACAGTAAAAATACCATTGACCAATAATTAGTTTTTCTATGTACAGTATGCATGTAAAATGACATTTGCAAAGATTGCAGCATAGCAGTATTATATTATTTATAAAATATTTATTTATGGTTTTCATCATGTTACATTTAAATACTGTGCAATAATTATAATATTTATCATATGACTTAAATACAGTCATTCAATTATTTAATTATTTAGCATACTTTTTTTAATGTTCTATATTTCTTTTGTAAATAATTATAACAGGCACACTTTGATTTGAGGATGACACAATCTTTTGTCACAATGACGTTCTTGAAAGTTAAAAGTATTTTGAAAATATTTATTTAGATGTATAGATTAAATACTATTAATTGTGGCTGTGACAAGTAATCGAGAAGCTGCCCTCAGACCAAATTTGGTCATGCCAGATGCCACCATTTTGCCTCCAGTCATGTCAACGACTCATGAGCACAAAAAGGAAACGTTAAAGATATCAGATTCTGCTTTGCTACATGACCTCATCCTCATCACCACAATTTGTAGAGATCCATTTGACTATAATGTGGTCAGGCTAAAATGATCTTCCATCACCAGCCACAGATGTCCAGCAGATGTTTATATTAAATCCCAAGGAGCAGAGAAGATGCGTATGGGAGACAGATTTGACAATCATTTCTTGACAGGGGATCACAGAACAGAGGATCTCTAATGTTTTTTTTCCACTTTTAACATCTTGAATGCTTCTTGCTTGGGGTGAAGAACGGTGAACCATTCCTCAATGTTACCTTTTTTTAGATTTTATCGTTACATCATGTCTGCAGCAGTTTGAGACTATGGGGAAAAACATGGATTTTACATTTGTCTAATGGAGAGCTGTTTTTGTCAAAGCATGTCCTTCCAGTGCATGTAGGAAATGTCGGCCTCCACTCTAATTTTTACATGGCTGATGGGCGTGCCTGACGCTTGATGTAATTGTCAAGCACACCACATTAGCCAACTGCCTCCGCTTTCACATTAACACTTTTTGATTGGCTGGAGCTCTGCACAATGTGGCTCAATGGAACCCCAATCCAGTTCGGCAACATTTGACGTCGCCCCATTCAAAGCTCGAAGGTCGAATGACTGACGAGTCATTTCAGGAGCTCCAGGTGCAGAGTTTTCTGTAGTACTTTAATTTTTCGGACGTTTTACATTTACACAAAAAAACCCTATAGCACACTAGAGGAAGGACACACGGAAAAAGCATCACATGCCTCCTTTAACTTCATTTATCTTTCTTCCTCTCAGTTTATCGCTCAGCCCAACTGTCAACAGCTGCTGGCGTCGCGGTGGTACGATCAGTTCCCGGGCTGGAGGAGGCGTCACTGGGCAGCAAAGCTCATCACGTGCATCTTCATCGGCCTCATGTTTCCGCTGCTGTCCATCTTCTACCTGATCTCCCCAAAGAGCTGCTATGGCTTATTCATCCGCAGGCCTTTCATCAAGTTCATCTGTCACACGGCCTCCTACCTGACCTTCCTCTTCCTGCTCTTCTTGGCCTCGCAGCACATATCCTCTCCACAACGGAACTTTCAGGGCCCAGCACCCACCATTGTGGAGTGGATGATCCTGCCTTGGGTGCTTGGTAACAATAACACATGTACACTAACACTAACCGACTGCTGTTTGTCCTCATGATAGCATGCATTGTTGTGCCTCTGCACAGAGTCGTTACACACATTTGAGGAAAGTCAATTAGAGGCCCTTACTGTTGCTCGATGATAATCGTTGACCACTTTTGTTTTCCTGTTTGAGGTTTTATATGGACGGAGATCAAACAGATGTGGGATAATGGTTTCAAAGACTACATAGACGACTGGTGGAACCTCGTGGACTTCATAATGAACTCCTTGTATCTTGTAACCATTTCTCTGAAGATCGTTGCCTATGTGAAGGTACTGTATATGTCAGAAAGTAATGCATTAGTCGAGCTGTCAATTAAAAAAAGCTCTGATCTGCACAGTCTATGAAAGATTTCAGCATTTATATTTCATTAAGAAGACAAATCCTTCGATCACACCGTTTAAAGCAATACCATGTAACTTTTGACCTTCAAATAATTTGCTTCAGTTTCAAAATGAGTTTGATGGTTTGCCAATTTGGAATAAGTAGAATGGTGCTGTTTCAATTCCCACTCCTTACCCTGAACATTTATTTAGTGAGCGGGCATGACATCCTGCAAGTGGAGCATAACTGCCTGACGGTCACAGCTTAAGGTCTTCTCTACACCACTGTGAATATTATTTAAACAATGTTTTAAAAAAATCTCCATTTAACAGAATCAGGCCCGTCAAGAGTTATGCTGAACTGATCAGATAAAAAGACGTCATTAAAAAACAGCGTTTATCTCCAATATTCAGGGAGGAAACTTTGTTAAATGAATAACTGTAAACAGATTGATTTAAATAGATCATGGGTAATATCCATCATTCAGCTGTGTTTCAATTTAGTGGGCAGGACTATAAAGTCAGAGTTAATCAGAATTACTCATTATCATGAGTGACTGCAGAGGGCGCTCTTGCTAAGTCAAAGTTACATTGTTAACTTATCAGTCAAAATTAGGAAAATGAAAATAAATGGGATTGCTGTGTATTCTTGTATTTTGAAATAGAAATATAAGCTTTGTTACCTGTAATTATCATGGTAGCCTGCATCATCCTCAATATAACATTTTTTTTTACAGTACAGTGGGAAAAAAAGCAGAGACACCTGGGAAATGTGGCACCCGACTCTGGTGGCAGAGGCGTCGTTCGCCATTGCCAACATCTTCAGCTCACTGCGCCTCATCTGCCTTTTTACTGCCAACTCCCATCTGGGGCCCTTACAGATCTCGCTGGGCCGAATGCTTCTGGACATCCTCAAGTTCCTCTTCATCTACTGCCTGGTGCTTGCAGCGTTCGCCAACGGCCTCAACCAGCTGTACTTTTACTACGAAACAGATGAGGGCAAAAACTGCACAGGGATTCGCTGCTCCAACCAGAACAACGCCTTCTCAACGCAAGTCCTTAAACAAATTGCTCCTGACAAATCTGCAATATAAATATTAAATCTAATTTTCTTTCAGCGATGCACAATGTGATGTATGGTTGTTTGCTTTTCAGGCTGTTCGAGACGCTGCAGTCGTTATTTTGGTCCGTGTTTGGCCTGATTTCTCTCTACGTGACCAATGTGAAGCCAGATCATGAATTCACTGAGTTTGTGGGCAGCACCATGTTTGGCACATACAACGTGATCTCCCTGGTCGTGCTTCTGAACATGCTCATTGCAATGATGAACAACTCCTACCAGCACATAGCTGTGAGCGCAGTAGCCGCTGGTTTCACCACATTCATTTGTCTTGTGTTCCTTCGCAAAAGGTTTTGATGAATTGTTTGTTTGTTTCTGTTCTCAGGATCATGCAGATATAGAATGGAAATTTGCAAGAACAAAATTATGGATGAGCTACTTTGAAGAAGGGGGGACTTTGCCGTCTCCGTTTAACATAATACCCAGTCCAAAGTCCGTTTTTTATCTGATGAAATGGATAAAGAAATGTTTGTTCAGGAAACTGAGCACGAAAAGGCTTGACACCTTCGAAACATTGGGGGTGAGGAGTTTTCAGAGATCTGATCTGTATTGTCACCACTGTATCGAATACATGTATTTATCGACCAATCTCTCTGATATTAAACTGAATACGTTTATATGCCTTGTAAAGACAAACTCATCCTGCCATTGAAAACAAGAATATATGCCATTTTTTTCCTTTACTTTCAGAGACGTGCAGCTAAAAATGTAAGATCAAACCATGAATACCAGGTACTACTGTCTTTTTAAACAAATAAATGCAGGCACATTTTCACCCAACTCTATTTTGAAAACAAATCTGTAGTTTTATCTTTAAAATTCTATGTATTTTTCAGGAGGTTTTAAGGAACCTTGTGAAGAGATATGTGGCTGCGTTGATCAGAGATGTCAAAACAGCGGAAGGTTTGACAGAAGAGAATTTCAAGGTAGTACTACGCAGTCCCTCAAACAGTGTTTTTCCATTGCTATGTTGTTTAATCCGGGTTCTCAATATATTACAGGAGCTGAAGCAGGATATCTCCAGCTTCCGATATGAAGTCCTTGGAATGATGAAGGGTAAATCTCATAGAAGGGGAAGCTCCTGCTTGGCTTATCCTGGAAACCCGTTCATATATTCTCCCAAATTCCCCAACGATGAGCCGGAACAGAAGCTGAGCATGTTTGATGTGGTCACCACTGCCCTACAGAGCGGAGCTTCCGACAACACCGGCTCTGACAGGCTATCCAACGGTACAGCTGTTATGTCTGCTACAAGACAGACTCAGGATGAGCTGTCCAAGAATGTCTCAGATGCTGGGTCTCAAAAATGTGAAAAAATGTCATCGTCAACAAAAGATTCAAAGGGATCTGGGGGCAAAAAACGAGTTCAGACTGAGAAAGTGACTGTGGAGGTCATCCAGATAAGGCAGAAGAACAAACGCAAGATTTAAAATTCTCACAAAAACCGGGGCATTAAGAAGGTGAAAAATGGGCCAAAAATAAAAAATAAGTAAGTCATTCAAAAAACTGAGTTGACAGAGGTGCTGCACAGTAGAAAACAAGAGAAGTACAAGAATTGAAAGAGCAAACCCCGCCATGTTAAGGAAATGGTCCCCTAAATTTCAATCAAGCAATTGTGCATTTATTTTCGATTTATAGACACTCAAAAACTGGTACAAATTTGAGTTTTAAATTGTATGTCTACTGAAGATGTGCTCTTAACCTAATTGTAGACTTAATGGAAAACTTACAAAACTTTGGGGTGGCTACAGCACATGCATAATGGGCCGTTCCCCTCAGCCGGGACCAAGGGACAGCCAGGAACAGCTGGTAATATCCCAGAGTATCTGAAACATCTGGGAGTGGAGTGGAGCTATGAGACGTGTTAGTGGAGCCAGGTCTTAAAAAAAATGAATAAATGAACCTTATGCTCAGTCCTGTTCTGGAGCAGTGCAGGGATGAGGTGAGATGGTGTCTCAGTGAGCGACAGTGTCCTGCAGCAGCTGCAAAAGAGACAGTGACGAAAACATATTAGTGCAACATCTTTCAATCGTCTTTTTTGGAGATTTCATTCTTTCTCTTACCAGTTTTTAAAAGAACATATATTGAAATAAACTCATTTCTCAAGGTAAGGAATATTGTAGTTACCTGTCATATTCAGTTTATTCCTTGTATCCTGTCATGTATACAACATATGTTATTTCACAATATATCACATGCATTCCTTTCTGAAAGGAGGAATATGCCGACTTGATGCTCAGGGAATTTGACTCAGGTCGGTAATTCATGATTTACTTTGAGCAACTAAATCCAAAGAGTGAAGACACCCTGTTGCCTATCCTCAGCTCCTGTACCTTGAACTGTTCTCTTACTGCCATATGCAAAAATTACTCTGTTTCTAAAAAAAATATTACTCCGCATACACTGGCAGTATCCAATTTTTTATTGATTATACAGTAAGAAAGAACCCTGAGTGAAAACATGTTAATTTGTATATGTGTGAACTAATTAAATATGTAACTTGGATACATTATCCAACTGATAAATAAGCAAAGCAACACCAGGCTAATTAAAAAATGTCTCATTGGTGGAACCTTTACTCCACAGCGATCTCCTTTTCTAGAGTGAGAAAAGTTTTGTTGCAAGATTTATTCCTCAACCTCCGCTAGTATACTTTACAACCTTAAATGCATAAGAGCCCCGTGGCAATGCGCTGCTGCTGTTGAACAAACTTGTGACATGTATTGACATTACTCTCTGATCAAATAAAAATCAATGCTGATGTAAAAAGGGTTTCTAACTGTATTGTCTCGTGGTTCTCAGCAACTTGTCCTCCTTTCTCTCTTCAAAACAATGCATAGTGACGCTAGAAACTCACATTTGAACTGAGAGTTGAGGTGAAGAATGAGGTCAGGAGGTGAAAGTTAAACTTCCCTCATCACTGGAGCAAAGATTTTGGGTAAACAGTTTACTGGCCTTTTGCTGTTTACATAGTTCTCAGTAGATGCACAGTTTATATCAACATCCTCCCTCTGAGAGATTTCTCTCATATGTAGTGACTAGTTCATGGAAGAAGCACAACTCAATGATTTTATTTACTGTTACTCTCATCTTGTCCTTCCTGTCAGGTTGAAGTATAAAGCATTGACATAAAATGGACATGGAAAAAAGTAAGGACAGTATTTACAAACTCCCTGTAGTTAGTCTTTCACTGCTCCTTAGTTTTAAGAAAAAGTTGTTTAAAAGCCTGTTGTTAATAAGTAAGTTCAGACGTAATAAGTAATTTAGACATAAAGAGTCAGTTTCACCCTGACTACATCTCAACAGCAGATTCAGGTTTTTGCTTCCTTAACAAAAGCTATAACTGTTATAGAATATATTATAGAATATATTCCTTTTTTTATGGACCATATATAGGTGATAGCTAATCCCGATGAGGAAGAGGTGGGATGCCCCCAAGTCGTCAGTCCATCACAGGCTGACATACACACAACCATTCACAATCACAGCTAGAGTCAATCTGGAGTCTCCAATTATCCCAACCCCTCATCTACATATTGGACTGTGGGAGGAAGGCGTATCCAGAGAACATGTGGACATGGGAAGAACATGCAAATCTTCACATGTAGTCCCAGACTGAACCGTGAGTCCAATGGAGAACCTTCATGCCATGCTTAAAAACAAAATCCATTTGCAAAAGCCTTTCTCAAAAGGTGCAGAGCAGGGAAAAGTGGGAATTTAAAGATGTGGAAATTAAAGCTACAGAAAGATGATACGTTCAGAAAACAGAGAAAAATAAAATGTTGCTTGAAAAATATATAAATATATGTCTAATACTTTTTTCTGATAAAAAATGTTTTACATCAAGATTACTTGGGATGTTTCGGAGCCTCTAACAGCAAAAGCCTGGTCCCCCTGCATGGAATAACCAGCGGAGCTCCACCTACAGATGTAAGTCAGAACCCATTAAAATTCAGTTTCCATATTAATGCATCACAAACGATGATCCACTAATATAACACTGGCAGGCCTTGTTCTGTGTAACGTGTGACCAGAATAAAGTCACAACAATTTTCATTTCATTGGCCTAAAATACAAAAAACTGATGAAATAAAACAATAATTTATATATTTTTTAATTCATGAGCTTTACTCCTGATACAATATAATACTCAGTGATGATGTCTGTTCCAGCTCTCTTCAATTATTTGGTGAGTCTGTGTTCATGAGGAGAATAATTCTGTGTGGACTGTTTTCCTACTTATCAGGCATCAAGCACCCTCTAGTGATGTGTGAGCAAAAGACCAGTGCGGTGCTGTGGGCTTCATAGAGAAGTGTGAACGCTGGCATCAGTGTATCCACTGTGCACCCAGCTGTGCTCATACTCTTAAAACACTGAGTTTACTTGTGATGCAGTAATAATATACTGCTGCAAGCACACTATAAACAGTAGTAACAGTTATCCAGTTTATTAAAGGTGTCCAATTGAATTCAGTCGTGCTGAGTACTTGCACAGATATTCAACTTCACACATTCATGGCTCGATGCTGCAGGCAACCTGGGGGTGCCAGCTGAAGACTTCAGGTTTCTGTTACCATAGCAGCCACGAGCAAATCACACGATCTTTAGAAAAGCCAATCACAGGCTGTTTTGGTTTTTGTCACCACTATAACTGTAGAGCCCAATTTAGACTGAGCGGTGGCATTCTCCCTTTCATTTCAACTTAAAAGCAGCTCAGTAGCAAGATACAAAGACAGGAATCCATACGTGGGATCAAAAGATATTTCATCCATTGTCTGTGGCACAAGCAGTGTGTGTGTGTCTGTGTCTGTGTGTGTGTGTGTGTGTCTGAGAAAGTGACTGATTCAGACAAAGACAGTTCCCATTCAAAGTGTTAATGTCACATTGCATTTATTAAATCACTGCTGTGAGTTTGCCAGTGCAAATATTTGTAGATGCGAGCGAATGAAGACTCTTCACTTTGAGAATTGGCTGCTCGCTGGATTCTTGAGATATTAAACTTAATGTATTCCAGTCTCTGGGATTTTAGGAGAGATGAAAAGCCTTGGTGGGGATTTTATGCATAAGCGCTTTTCTAAAGGCCTTGACGAATCCAGTTCTTAAGAAGCTTGCTGCATTGAATAGGTGTCACTTGTTCAAGAAGGACGAGATTCACTTAATGATCCACTTTCTGATATTTTATATTTTTCAATTTCAGCTCACAGGTTAGAAATAAATCTACTAAATACAACACACAAACATGAGTGAGGGCTGTGATGTTCAGTGCTGCAGGAGCTCCCTGTTTTTTTTTTACAGTCCACTGACTCTGCAGGCCAGGAGGACATTTTACTTCTGCTAAGTTCTGAGTTCTGATCAGCACCCCCTGCTAAAGCCTAACTAGTTACACTTTTAGAAACTTTTAAGGCTGAAAACTGAATAAACTAAATCATGTAATATTTTATTCATCAAACATTGTTCAAACGCTATTTTGCTGTGGGTATAAGGACTAGTCATTTTTAAAAGAAATGACAGGACAACACATTGTTAAGTAGATTCTTATGAAATTCATAAGTTGCAGCCTATTATCATTTCCTTGTACCTATTCTAGGATTTCACATTTTGCATGTCTGAGTCATTTCACAAGTAGTGTTTTTCTGAGGTTTTCACTTCCCAGGAACTGTGAAACTGTTTTGTTCCTGTTAGTGTTTGTGTTTTAAGTGTTTCCAGTCAGAGTCTGATTCATGGCGCAGGTTTTCTAGATTTCAAAGGAATTGGGATACATGCAATTGATATTTAGGAAACAAGTTCAATGTTTTCTGATAAAGAAATGAAAATATAACCTGTCTTCAACCTGCTTTTAAATAGTCCCTGTCAATTTTTCTTTTTTGGGTCTTGTAAAGCACTTTGTAACTGTGTTCTGAAAGGTACTTCGAATAGTTGTGTTATAGAAATTATCATGTGCTAGTATCCATATAATGGTGTGAGATTCAGTATCATGTGGCAGTTTAATCCAGATAGAATGGTAAAGCTTTGAGACCCACTGCCTGTAGTCCGTGCTTCCACTAGGTGGTGCAAACTACATTCGGAAAAATATACTATCAGTGCTCTGGCATTTGTTCAGAGTAAAGATTATGTAATGTTTCTTTGTTTTCGGTCCAAATAAATGACACTTTAAGAGACAAGATACAGCTTGATTCCATCTGCTTACTATACATAACTGATGTGGCAGCCTGCTTCAGGGCTCCAAAAAAATGCCAAGCTACTTTGTGCCCTGAGAAATAGATCAAATCAAGCAGTTTGCTCAAAGCATATGATTAATAATAATTGAGCCTTTAGACACTGAGCCTTTCAAACTAAATGTGCACTAATGAGTGCAAAACAGTATTTAAAAAAAAAATCCATATTACGAAAACACAAGGAAATCAGGGAAAGCAAGTGACAATGTCTTCATGCTGACGTTGTAATATGGATTTTTAAATTTATACCGAAAATATTAAAACCAAACATCTTTTGTGAGAAATCTGTGCACATATAATCTGCATAAACGACAACACATTTTGTAAATGTCATCCCACTTTTTAAAAGTGTCTCAGAATAAATAATCAAATATATATAAAACATTTACAGACTCACAATTCATTGCACACAAGTGGTAAATCCTTTCCGTATAGACGTATAGTAAAGAAATGTAGTTTTGGGAGGTCCTGGGTGGTCCATACATGCATTCAATCCTGCCATCCTCCTTGAGTGGAGGGAGAGACTCCTGCTATAAAAACTCCCACTCTGAAGCTGCAGCCGTTACTCTGGGTCTGGAGGAGTTAGCTGAGAAATCCAAGATGAAGCTCCTGTTCGTGGCTGCCTTTGCACTCTTTGTGCTGTCGACGTTGGACCGGGCTGACTCCTCAGCTTATGACAAAATAGTCGCCCACAGTCGCATCAGGGCAAGAAAAGAAGGGTAAGCTCATTAATATTTTCTCATGATTATTTTCTTGTGTGTTATTTTTTGTTGCAAGGAGTAGTATTGAACTTTGAGTATCAGTATTTCATATTATTTCTGCACATGCTATATTATTTAGTCACATTAGTTTCACATCAAGTGTTTCTTAAAAAAATAAGTTTTATACTTCAGACAGAAAAGAGGTAAAGCTGCAGAGATCTATTTAAATCCTTCTTCGCATCTGACAAACTAATCTCATAACCAGCAGGCAGAGATGTCATTATTCACATTTGACAAGCAGCAGGGGACAGTTGCTGAGTAATGATTCACAGTCTGTTGACTCACAATGTTCTACATGCAAATAACTTTCTAACAAATCTGAATTTAAGTGTTTTACCTGCTGATTCATGCTTCGTCCCCTTTTCACCTTCAACTCTCTCCAGACCCAATGTCTGCGCTCTCCAGCAGGTCATGGGGACCAAGAAGAAGTACTTCAGCACTTGTCGTAATTGGTACCAAGGGGCCATCTGTGGAAAGAAAGCGTAAGTGTTGCTTCGTGTTTCCAACCTGTTACATACAAATCCACTTACTCAAAATGTATTTGAAAGTGTAATTTCTCTTCAGTGTCTGCCTCCTCTTCTTTAACTTTTCCTTTAAGGATTTAATGGAAACTTCAGTGTTTCCATAGAGGCAGACATCTGTTATTGTACTTTGAATTTAACTATTGCATTAAATGAAAAACACATTTAAAGATGCAGCCCTAATCTCTTTGTGTTGAAGGCGATCCCATTGCCTCCAATAAACTGTAAGTCAGGGTTTTCATAGGTTTCATAAGCCCGGGGTGTCGTTGGATGCCACTGTGGTGAACCACTGATTCCAACATGTGATGTGGCTGCACTGTGTTCATGAATGGAAAAGCGTTCACCTCAATCATTCGAGACAACCCCTCTTTTTTTCTGTTGTTGTTCCAGCGCTCTCAGCACTTTTCGGTTTTTTAACATGGATCTGAGCCATCCCTGTTTTACGGTCTCTCTCACACACACACTGAGTTTGTCCTCTATGCTTGCATCATGTCAGAATCATGCCGAGCACTCTAAACAGGCTGAGTTTATCCATGATGAAAGCAGACTGCTCCCTAAACAGCCCAAAGCATTTTATCTGATTCAATGGACGTCTGACAAGGGACCATGGAATCAATCAAAACATGACCGGGCCAAGAAGTTGAAATTCAGACACTGATTTATGGTTAGCGACGTTTTGCTGATGCAAGATCTCCTTAAAAACTGTGGGTTACGTAATATTCCGTCAAAGCGGAGCTACACTGGAGCCAGAAATATTTGTATTTGTTAATAAAACTCCCTGAATCCTTCCACCCTGTGTTTTGTTTCCAGCACAAAAAACTAAACCATTTCTTAATTTCCTGATAATTTTTCAGTCAAAATGTTTTTTTATGTTATTTAAATTGGACTTAAATTTGCTTGTCGCACCTCTCTATACATGTTTGACATCTCCCAACACCCCCCTTAAATTCAATCAAGCTGCAACAAATTTCTGATCAAATACCACTTCCCTATATGTGTCAAGATCCATAAATTATTTTGTTGGAAATTGATGAAAAAGTTTAAAAAACCCTATTGCAGTGTTAAAGAAAGTGACAAAAAACAACCTTGGATCGACACCAAAATTGTCCTAACATAAATCTCATCCTTCCACCAAGGTTTACATAAATCTGTTCTGGTATTTTTGTATAATCTTGCTCACAAACAAAGGACAGGGAGGTTAAGGTGTGACAGAGTTCCTAGATTTAAACACAGAAACTACTTGAGTTTAAGGGAAATTAGGGAAATAAGTACTTCAAATAAGAACTTCCTTAAGGTCAGTGGCTCTTTGTCATTGTGGTTACTATAACAAACACACTGTTAAGGTGGCGGCATGGTCATAAAAATATCGTACTGATGGTCGGTTTCACACAGGAAATGAACAACAGCCGCCTGTGAGTAAGTCCTGTGTTTTGTAGAGCGTTCAAACACCAACCTCTGTGCAGTGCAGACTTTTTTGTTTTATGTTCGAGGCCACCGAGAGGTTACCGAACAATAAAACGTTACTAGGGTTTATTATAAGCTTCCTGCATAGACAACTTCTGCTCATTTCTACATGAGCAAAGTCTCCATCAGGAGCAGAGAGTTTAATCTATAGGTATTTCTGCTGCTGAGGTTTAATCCACAAAACAAGAATATTATTTCTGTTTCTATAGCAGCCCTGTCTCCAAGTAAATTTCGTACAACCAAACTGCCCATTAGCAATTGGTTGAATTGGAGTGAAACCACAGAGGCCATATATTATGTTTGACATACCTATCTCGATTCTCAGCGGAACAGTTCTTTCGTCGAGATGCTGACAAGTCAAAAGTTTCCAGCCTCAGGGCCCAGCCACAAGTCACTTTGTGTGGGAAAGCAATGCAGCGCGGCTTTTCTGCTGACACTGCCCCATTGGGGCTCGTGTGATCTCATCCCAGTCGCTCCAGCTCCATTCAGCTTGCATTCAAACGCAGCGGTGAAAGAGTTTCAATTAGCCGTGAACCAGGAGCCCTGATGTAACCCTGTCTGGGACATCAGCAGAGCATAAATGCAACAAACAACCCTCTATATTTCTCCCATTAGTACATTCGTGCATCACAATGAAGTTTGAAACAACAATTCTATCCATGCACAAACTACGACAGATCTCCTAAAAGAGACTTTTCGTTGAGCACACCACAGGAAAAAGAATATCACCTTACAGGACTTAAGGACTTTAGGGAATCTGTAGCGACACCTTGTTTTTGTTAAGTGCAACTACTGCACGTGAAGCAACGACTTACATCAGATCTTTTGTCCTTAAGTGTCCTTACAAATCCCTATTGTTCACATCTAATTTATGGCACATTTATGCAGCTAAATCTTGATAAAGATAAACTGCTAAAATTAGAAAATCCCACACAGTTTGTAGCTGGCTAATTGCAGAACCAGTGAACCCATACACACGCACAGCGTTATATTATAAAGTGAACAAGTTGTTAACCACGAGGACTCGATAACTTTCGTACTATTGACATGATTACTTTATTCACACAGAGTGGAAAAACTGGTGAAAAAGCCGTTTCGCTGTTTTATAACCAGAAAAGCAGAGGCAGTCTACAGTAATGAACTTCCCATGCAGCCAACTCAGGACACATGTGGTATTATTTATCCTTAATATGGACATATATGGTTCTTTATGCCTTGTGGGTCTTTTTTATTGTTACATACCTTTTAGTTATTTGAAGTGAAAATGATATCTCCAAATGGCAGGAGCTGGAAACAATACGATGGTTCCAACATGTTCAAACCCGCTGACGGTAGGGGTATAGGCATGTTTATATCTGGCAGCTGCACACTGAATTTTATTGTTTTACAGCAGACTATGAGGTCCAGTGCTGTTTAAGTGGAGCAGAGACGTTGCTCCTCTCTTGTATTTCAAGCAGCAAGTGAATATTTTCTCATTCATATCTACATTGTTTAAAAAAGCGTGTTAAAAAAAGCAGATTTGCTCCGTTTCTTTAATGCATGCTGTCACAACCTTTAAATTCTTCTTGTGTCAACCAAAATTTCCTAAAACTCAACTCTAATTATCCTGCATTTTTTCAAGACCAGATTGTAAATGTTCCTGAGGTTAACCAAATGTCAAGTCAAGTCCAAACTAATTGTTTAGCTTCAAAGAGGAGGTCTGGGCAACACAGACCCACTACTGTAATGGCAGCGTAATCCTCACGGCACCCTTTCCATTAGGTTTTGGCTGAAGCTGCAGGATCACATGGACTGTTTGGGTAATGAAACAGATAATGAGCAACATCTGGAAATGCTGAGTAGACCAAAGAATGATTCAGCTAAGAACAGGGCAGCCATAGAAAATACACATTTCTCCTATCTTCTTTGAGGTGGTACCCATCATTTGTGTTCTGTGTGTTTTTCCTGCAGGACTGTGCTTTATGAGTGTTGTCCTGGGTACATGAAGATGGAAGGCATGCTTGGTTGCCCTGCAGGTACGGTGTGTTAAGTGCAGTCGATGTATGAAGGTTAGACGAGGACATGCCAACCAACTGTAGAGCAGCTGTGTGCTATTTTTGAAATCAGACCAAATAAACTACTAGAGGATGCTGGGGCATATTGTCAGCACATGCAGGATCTGTCTTTCAGTGCCCCGCACACATGTTTCTTATCTCTATGTCTAAAAAGACAGGCTGACATCTACTAAAACTTATCGTTAATGTCCTTCTCAGTGGCTCCTATTGACCATGTGTATGGCACCTTGGGCCTGGTGAAAGCCAGCTCAACCCAGAATTACGCTGATATTTCAAAGTTGAGGCCTGAGATCGAGGGATCTGGATCTTTTACCATATTTGCCCCAAGCAACGAGGCCTGGGAGAAATTGGATGAGGTAAGAAAACAAGTTAAAAGCTACACCTCTCTTCCTGTGATGTATTAACATCTTATTTTTCCTCACCTAACAGTCAGTGAGGAGTGCACTGGTCAGCAATGTCAACATTGAGCTGTACAACGCGCTGCATTACCACATGGTCAACAAACGCCTCTTTACCAAAGATTTAAGGAATGGAATGACAGTCAACTCCATGTACAATGATCTTGGTCTCTTTATTAACCATTACTCCAATGGGGTGAGTCTGATTATTATTCAGTGCCTTCATAGTTCTACCCACATCACGTTTCAGTGGTTTGACATGATAACAATTGTGCCTTATGAGCAGGTGGTGACAGTGAACTGCGCCAGGCTTATCCAAGCCAACCAGGTTGCCACCAACGGAGTTGTGCACGTCGTCGACCGCGTGATCAGCGCTGTTGGAAGCACCATTCAGGACGTCATTGAGGTTGATGAGGACCTGGCAACACTGAGCGTGAGTACACATGGTGGGAGAAAATATAAACACCAAAAAACATAGTTAGAGACAGCAGGAAATTTAACTTTTTGCATTATCCCCTAAAAATTTAACAAATAAATGGTTCATCCTTCAATCTGAATCTGCACACAAACGTAATCAGTTCTTCCCAATCCTTCCATTTTGTGGAAAGCGGTTAAGTGATTTTTGCATAATCCAGCTAACAAATAAACCAACAAACAGACGAGGATGATAACCTCCTTGCTGCTGGTAACTAACATTTACAGGAGCATCTGAAGAACACATGCAGAAGTTTGCAAATGTTGATTTAGGGGCTTTAAAATTAATTTTTTCACGGGATTATGATGTCTACATCCTGCAAATGTTTCACTGAACATAACCCTGATGATATCACCGTCTAGGATGTGGCTCACAGCGCTGGGATGCTGGAGAAGCTGGGCCAGCCAGGACATTACACTCTCTTTGCCCCCACCAACGATGCCTTTGAGAGCCTCGGCACCGATGTGTTGGAGAGACTTCAGAGCGACAAGCAGGCCATCCAAGGTAACCCTGACTCAGGGCCATTTACAACACTGCAGCAGCAACAGAGGTTTATATTAACCATAGTAAACAGGGACTATATTTATATTTAATGATGAAACAGAATGTAGGAGAGGGAGTGCAATCGTTTGCTGGCGGCATGTTTGCCAGACTCAGTCCCTATTAAATTTTTTTTTCAACGTCTTCCAATATAAAAACATGAAACCGCAATGGATCCGGAGCTCACACACTTTTGGCAAACTGTGCATAACAAAGCTGTGTTGAATAAAAATACAAATAATAGTTTTAAGTAATGCGTCATGCTCTGTGGATGGAAAGTCAAACAATGCAACACATTATTTAACACTTGAGGGATAACTGTATGTTTTGAGAGTAAGTCATTATCAATTTACATTGGCCACATTTGCAAGAACTGTATCATTATATTCATCAATGAGAAGAAGTTAAAACATAAAAAAGAATACATAAAAGTGAAGGAGAAACCAACAAGAAACTACAGAATCTCAGCATTTTTAACTTTTGATTATTTTTGCGGGAAGCAGCTGCTTCATTGGGCAAGCTGGTCAAATTGGCCATGAAACAACCTTTTTTATTAGCCCCCAGCTTGCCGTGTGATACAAGATCAGAACGTTTCACACAAAGGTTAACAGAGCTGTGAAGAAATCACGAGTCTTCTCAGTCAAGGACCCAAGGGACCCAAAGGATGTTCAGGTTCTCAGGATGTTACAGCCTCAGCTGCATAGCGTAACATGGGAAAGATCATAAAACAGCCCATGCAGTGCAAATGAGCTACATTGAGCCAAACATCTATCTACTGTTTACCTGAACCACACATTTATTTAAAACTCTGCCTCATTCTTTCAGCTCTTCTGAAATTCCACATGCTGGACTCCGTGCAGTGCTCTGAGGCTATCATGGCCGGCAGCTCCTATGAGACTCTGGAGGGCAACAACATTGAGATTGGCTGTGACGGTGAAAGTCTGACTATCAACGGTGTCAAGTTGGTGCGCAAGAAGGACATCGTCACCACCAATGGTGTCATCCACCTCATCGACAAAGTGCTCATGCCAGACTCAGGTTTCCATCTCCTCTCTCTTCAAATTTAAAGGGCTTTCACATTTTCCTTGTTTAATCTGGACCTTCAGACTTTATAAGAGGTGTAAAATGTTCCTCAGACCACTGTATAGAACAATGGAGCAACATTTTTTGTCGTTGAAAAACATACTTTTGGACCAATTGCAGGAAGTTGTGACAGCAATTAAACAATAGAAGAAGAAAAAGAAGGGGAAGTGGCTTGCAGGATGTCTTGCAGTCTTCTTCTCGATGATACAATGTTTGAACGAAATTAGCAAAGTGAACTAATAAGTAATCTAGACACAGGCCCGTGATAGCAAAGAAGTACATATGTCACACACATTTCTCAAGTCTGCTCTCTAAATTACAATGTCAAATAAAAACCGGATTAAGTGCTACAAAGACATGAACCATGGTTCGGACTTTCAGGTGTGAAATGGCCCTTCACCTGGTTTACCGTATACAAAAGTAGCCTAGATGTTTTCCTGAAAGTCATATTTTAACAGTGCAAATCTTCTGTGAACTTTTAGCTAAGCAGGTGATGGACTTGGTGGGAAGTACCCAGTCGACCTTCTTGGATATGATGTCGGAGCTGGGCCTTTCAGCCGCGATGAGACCTGAGGCTGAGTACACGCTGCTGGCTCCTCTCAACGCTGCCTTCACTGGTGAGTGAACCAGAAGCCGGAGCCAGAAGCCAGTCATGCAGACTCATATGGGAATAGATATCTAATATGTGGAACTGCAGGGAAGTTATGGATTTACTGAAAGAGCCTTTATGGCATGTAACACCAATGCCAACGCCCAAGAGAACATTCCTGGACTTCACTCAAAGGGAGTGGAGGTGTTGTTTTGTGTCTGTAACAAGAATGTGCATTTAATCAAGGCAGAATACTTTTGTCTCTCTAACTGTTTGGCTCTCTGGGTGTGAGGAATGCACGAGGAGGCAACAGCTGGATTTAACAAGCATGCATTGAAACCATATAATCCTTTATGTCTGGTAACAGGGTATTGTACACGGTCCATCTACAGAAATGTGCTGTAAATCAAGCCTCTGATAGCAGATGTTTTCTAACAGGTGGTAATATGGTTGCTGCTCCTGGGATATGGTGGCCAAAATAACTGGAATAAGAACATAAGTCAAATTTATCTTGCTGAGGAGTTTGATATAAAAACTGTAAAATGTTGGTGGTACAAGGGGAAATATAAGCCTGTGCCTTTCCTCTATAGATGAAGTAATGTTCATGGACCAGAGGTTGCTCAAGATTATTCTGGAGAGTCACATCCTGAAGAAGAAGATTGTTCTGGGAGAGCTGTACAATGGCCAGCGGCTGGAGACCATCGGCGGAAAACTCCTGCGAGTCTTCATCTATCGCACGGTGTGGCTGGGTGCCAACACACACACACACTACATGCATTATCGTTGTCATTTGACAATCAATCTTCAAATCTTAGACATAACATGAATCCCTGTTGCCTTTAACTCATGGATTATTTCTGCAGGCTGTGTGCATTGAGAATTCCTGTCTGATCAGGGGAAGTAAAGAAGGAAGCAACGGGGCCCTTCATCTCATGAGGACTCTGTTGAAACCGGCAGAAAAAACCATGTTTGAGATTCTGACAGAAAAAGGAGGGTTCAAGTACGTACAAAGCGACGTTGAGTCAAAAATCCAGTGTGGTATTGAATTGCAGCCTCACACTCAGACCATGTTTTTTCTACATCTTTTCATTGAATCCACATGGCATACATGCAGGGGAATAAGAAAGTGCTGTTGTTGCAGGATGTCAGCCCTAGGTGGTTCTTGCAACAGCTGAATTACTGTTTTCTTCTCCTTTCTGCAGGATCTTTTTGTCTCTCATGGAAACTGCCGGCTTGACTGACCTGCTGAAACAGGAGGGAGACTTCACTCTGTTTGCCCCGAGCGATGCAGCCTTCGCTAGTCTGAGCGAGAGGGATTTGGCCTTGTTGAAGGGTAAGTCTCCTACACTCCCTTTATCCTTTTGATGGGTTTCAAGTTGCCAGTTGAAAAATCACACAGTTTGCTGTTTTTAATTTCAGGCGACATGAATGCTCTCAGAACTATCCTTCTGTACCACATCAATAACGGTGTCTTCATCGGCGGGGGTTTGGAGACGGGGGTGACGAACCTCCTTAAGTCTCTTCAGGGCAGTAACCTCAGATTGATGTTTGTGAGTATTTATTGCTGCAACACTTCTAAAGGAATACAAAAGCTGTAAATTAATTATTCTGTCAAATTATTCTTTAGAGTTGTCATCTGATAATATCTCCTCCTCACTTCTGAAACTCAGTGACCTCAGCAAGCTAATAACTAAATTATTCACCATGAAGAGTAACTCATATTTATACAGGTTCATTCAAGCTTCTCATTTTGTGGTGCTCTTGTCTGTAATTGTTTTAAAACTGTCGCCCCGCAGGCAAACAACAGCATGCTTGTGAATTCTGTCCAAGTCCCCGAATCTGATATCATGGCCACAAACGGAGTCGTTCACTTCGTCAACCAAGTTTTGTATCCCGGAGGTATAAAATCCCCCTTTTCGTTTGTAAATATGTCTGGAGATGCACTGTGCTGTGTCTGAGGTTAACACCCTATGCTTTCTTTCACAGATATCCCAGTTGGAAGCCAGGATTTGCTCATGATGTTGAAGAGGCTCATCACGTACATGCAAATCAAGGTGTTGTATAAAAAGATAAATAGTTGTTATGAAAGCTGAGAGACTTATTAAAGACATGTTTTTTTTCTTTAAAGAATCTACAACTTGCTTTCAGACATGCACTTAAGCCAGGATATCTTCCTGAAATTTTCCAGAGGGGAATGTATGTGACTTTTTCCTCGAACTTTTTGCGCTTGCCCCCCCCCCCCGGTAAAATGAACCCGTACAGCAGGAAAATGTCTGAACGAACGTGTTGATGACTTTTCTAACTTGCCACAGATGCGAAAACCGACAGAATGCAAATATCGCAAGATGAAAAAGAGCGAGAGCTTTTTGCAATAAGCTGGTGTCAGTGTACTGTAAACACAAACACTGTCATGTCCTCCTGCATGCTCTACCAAGACCAAACCTCTGGCCTGAATGATCCGGACCTTTTTCAGTTCTGACCTGATCTCCAGCTGTGTACTTCATGCATGGAATCCAAACAGAAGAAAATGTCCAGACCCAATTTTTATGGAGGACATTTCTGAAAGCTGCGTTTGTGGGGAGTTGATCTCATATTTTTAATCAAGGGAGTCATGGTGCAATGGATCAACAGTTGGTTTAGTTTGCTGTTTTCTGTAATTGAATTAAAATATATTTTTTCTTTTTTACAGTACATTTCCGGATACAGATATCAGGAGATTCCTCTCACATTTATGAGTAAGTTACAATAAAACAGAGTTTATTCTGTTTTTTGTGTGCTACTTTATTTTTTGCCACATTTTATGTGTTCTTTTATCACATTATTTAATGTCATTAATGGCTTTATATCTCCTGTTGTCATTAGAGAGGATCGTCACTCGCGTCATCCAGGAAGGTACAGTAATGATGAGAGTATCATCATCGTGTGATTCCTAATCAGCACAGCTGCACAGATTTGATGCGGTTAATGAAACAGTTGCATGGTTAAAAGTGCTATCAAATCTGGAGGAGGCTGGTAAATTACAACAAATACAGATGCATCTGCATTTTTGTCAATCCTGATAATTTCATGCCCACATGCACAGATAAGGGGATCAACATCTTAAGTAGCGTTAATCAGAGAGAAGAAAGTTTCTTCTCAACTAATGGAATGGAACATTTTCAAAAGATACATTTATACAAATAAAACAGTCGTGCAAAAATTATATTTATAGATTAACAGAATTTCTTTGATTATGAATCACATTTTCTGTCATAGCAACCTTTCTGATCCAGTGAAAGGTCCATTAGTTTTGTTGCCTGCAAACAAATGGAGGATTCTCTGTATCGAGGGGCAATGCTGTGCTACCTGTAATCTCAGTGTGGTGAAACGTGTCTTTTGTTCCTTTAAAGCTCCTGAGCTGACCAAAGTGACGCGGGTCATTGAAAGTAAGCCCTCCGTCACCAAAGTCACCAGGGTCATCGAAGCCAAGCCCTCCATCACCAAGGTCACCAGGGTTATCGAAGGCGCGCCCTCAGTCACCAAGGTGACACGGGTAATCGAGAGTAACCCGACCATCACCAAAGTCACCAGGGTTGTCCCAGGTAAATATGTCTCACCTGAATCAGTGAGTCTTTTTAAAAAGAATCAATCAGTGTAAACACTAATGGATGCTGTCGTTTCCAGGCTCTGAGTTCTCAGTCAGCAGTGGAACCACCAAAATCAGTCTAGAAGGTCAGTGAAACAAACTGAGACTTGAACAGAGAAATGTCCAGTGGTATATGTGGTTGGAAAATATTTCCCACCACAAAATATGAAATAATCTATTATCTTTAATATTATTCTAAATTCTATGTTTTTCTATGACCCTGGGAATGAAGAAACAATATAATTGGAAATAATGGGTGGATGATGTTGATTTAAAATAATTATTAAGCTGCAAACCCACAGCTGTTTGAACACATACTTGTCAGTACGGCAAAGGCAACGTCTCATACTGTACAATGAACAGCACAATGGGCTTAGGGGCGGTCGTGGCTCAGTTGGTACAACGGGTTGTCCATTAATCAGAGGGTTATTGGTTTGATCTCTGGCTCCTCCGACCTGCATTCCAAAGATACTGAACCCCCCCCCCGGGAAAAGATTAAAAAAGTGAAAGAGAAATACAGTCCATCCACTTTTACCATTTACAATGTAGAAAATGATTCAGTTCCACTTTAATCTTTTCTTTCATTTTCCCCTCAGGCGGTGACTTTTCAGAATTCGACCCTGAAACGCTTTCCAAAGTCATCCAAGGTGAGTTTCATCATCAGTGTGGACGTCTGAGGGAATCATTCGTAAACAATCTGTGATTCATATTGTTTGTTTGACTTTATAGAAAGTGGTTCGAGAAGAACCAGCACCAGGAGAGTTATACGTAGGTAAAAGGAGGAGGAAAAAAAAAGAATCCTGCATTTTTAGTAAATGCAGTGAGGCATGTGAGATTGCTCAGGCAGTCAACCGAGCCTGTTGCTACACTTACATGGCACAGGCCTATACTCTCCTCCCTGCAGCCCTATGGGCGGCGTAGGCCATCGGTGCATTGCCATAAGTGTCGTTAACAAGCAGGAAAGAGTTGACGGACCTGCTGCATTAGGAGCGTCTCTCATGCCTCAACTCTGCATGAAGGCTATCGCTCGGTGAACTGTTCCAGCTCGCAGGCATTTGTGTTTATATGTGTGTCCACACTGCTGCTGCTGAGGCTACTGTCAGCCCCACATTTATTCAATGACTTCTACAGTGAGTTGGAGAAAGTTTTAATCACATAGAAATGACCTGATGTTTGAGAGAGAGAGAGAGAGAGTGAGAGCGCACTGGAAACTATTGGCCCTTGAAGTGAAGGTTTTATCAGGCTAACTTTTATAATATGATTATAAGCTTCATTCGGTAGCCTACACATGCTTAATTCTATTTGACATCATATCTATAATTGACACATTTATTTATCAGACACAATTCTTTTGTATTTGGACTTTGTAACTTGAGCCACCTTTATAACTACAGTGGCACTCCGTAGAGAAAATGACTCCACTAAGGCAGTCCTCTACATTATTCCTCAAAAAAATGCCTCACAATGTTACAGAGAGTGGAAAAAAGAATCCTGGATCCACCCCCTGATTCAGATCCACACCAGAATTCACTGTGTTCTTCATTGGATCCATGCCCCAAGTCGATTTTGCGTATACTTGCGAACAAACAAGCAAACAGACACAACTACTATTTTGTTAGTTTAATCCACATTAAAAAAACTAAGCATCCAGCTTTCATGTGGGGTTTGATGTAGTGGAATAGTTCTTCACATGCAGGGCAGAAAATGGCCAAAAATCAGTGATCCCCAATGATCAGATACACAAAGGTTATGATTTTTTCATTAAGATGCTGCATTTTTGTCTGTTTACACTGTGCTGCTGTAGCTTAATCAAACAGAAGGGACTGGTGTCAGTGTCCTCGTTTAACTCTCTAAGTTTTCCACAATTTCAAAGCCATGTGTGGGCCGCTGATTCTCTTGCTACCATGCTTGCCACCACATCGCTCACCTGAATGCTACGCCGACGTCCACCTCTTGGCTCTGGGTCTATACGCTCCCCGTAGAGGGGAGGAAGTTATAATTATCACTCACCGCTCCCTGCTGCGCTGGGCTTTGTTGCTTCCTTGTGGGGGGAGTGATGAGATCAGAGCCTAGATGTTCAACTTGAAAACATATTTCATGTTCCACATGAGCTGGCTGACTGACGTGTATTTATGTTTCCACGCTTTTTTCCCAGCTGGCAACAGGAGGAGAGGAAGGGACTGAGCGTGGATGGATGAAAATGTCGATCTCGTAAAGGCAGAGTGAGACTCCAAACCCAGGAGGTTGAGATGCTGCGTTTCAGTGCAGGGGATACACTTAAAATGTCAATAATTTCAAATATACTGTAAAAGGTGTATAGGCCTAACTGACCAAAATAAAAACTATTCTCATAAACAAGTTAATGGTGCTTCGAATGTATATCTAATGTGTGCAATGTCTGACAGGAGTCTTTTTGGTTCAGATTGTGCGTTGGAATGAATATTTTGGCGTGACTTTAAAGACAGAGCAAGTCAGGGTAACAATAAAATGTTTAATAAGCCATTAGGGGAGCAGTACAAACATTTCAATTCAAATATATGACTTTGCTGGAGGTGATGGTTGAAGCAAGATGATTCTTACAGGCTGTTTGGGAAGATTTACAAATCTCAGCATGATAGAGATTAAAATTTGTCCATGTTAAGGTGTATTTTTTGGTTTTGTTTTTTACTTTCTCTGGCTGTAAGTTGCTTTAAGAATCGTGTGAGTTTGTATCATTTGGAACAATGTTGACAATGGCAAGTTTTCTCCGTTCTGTTTTCCAAACATCTTTCAATAAAAACATCTTTCTTGGGTATAAATATGTGGATTTTTTTTTAAAAGAGCATCTGAAGCAATTGTTAGGTAATGTTCGCCATTAGGTAATGGTAGTCATAGAAAAAACTCACCCACACAATCCAGTGTAGAAAAGTAACACTTAACTTTATGATTTTTTTTACATGAAATGAACAACAATGGCTTTATGTTGTTTGTTGGAGGAATATAAATCATATCTAAGCTGCTGTTTGTAACAATGCCGACAGTGGAAATATTTGCCTTGAGGTTTCTGCGACATTGTGTGCACAGACGTTTGAATCAGGCCCAGCTCTGTTATTTGGCTCATGAGCGCGACTCATTGCGATTTACGATCTCTTGGACGAATTAAATAGGTTAAAAACTCAGAGCAGCTGCCAACAGAAACACAAACATAGTAAAATGCACAAAGCTTCTATTTTTTTATTGTTTATCTGTAATTTCACAATAAATATAATTCACAGAAATGGGCTTTATAGAGCCAGACAGCTGGTTCACCCCTGTTTGAAGAAGTGTTGTCTATAACAATTACTAGTGTGGTGCATATGTCTGCTAATGAAAATAATAACTTGCCACAAAACATTGCTTTAGCATTAAGGATTATCAACCAATGCAAAATAGGTAATAAGCTTTAAATCCTTGTTTTCATAATATACATACACCACATAATAAAAGCTGCTCAGTTTGGTTTCTTTTAAATCTGCGCGCCATGTTCTTCTTACATCTTGATAAAAATGAAAACAGTTCACATCATGTTACTGATATAAAACAGCTGTTAAATAGTTCAGTGTACATAAGAAAGGAAAGTCTGCAGTATTTCTTTATAGCTGCTTTTAGTAGCTATTTTGTCCTGATGTGTAATTAAGGACATGTTACAATTGAAAGTTTATATCAGACTGAAGATATTAGTGCTATTGAAATGTCTATTTTTAATTTGGAGGTAGACGGGGAATCAATTCTCCAATAACATTAGAAGAATAAACAATTTCTCCTCCTGTTGGTTTGGTTTTTTTTCTAATCTTATTTCCTCTTTATGTTGAGGCAGCAGTGCATGAGATCTACCATCAGTAAGAACGCAGACTTCTACAGAAACATGCAGACCTTTCTACACAGAGAGTGAATATCTTCTGCAGTCAGCAACACACAGCCGGCAATATTTTATACCTTTACAGCACCGTCTGAGAATTGAGAAAACATCTGCTGCTGGATCTTATTGCTTTTCCATGTGGCTTTGGATTTTCCACACTGTATTCAGCCATGATCTCCCAATCTATTATCGAGTCATTTATGAGGCAGCTGATATCACCGACATCGGACTCAGATTTCAGCTTCTGGCGTGACGGCTTCTACGGCTCCTCACTATCACCAACATGCAGCTTGTCTAATTGTGCTTCAGTGAATCCACTAGGGTGGGATACTCGTTAACAGCCTCTTATTGCTGAAAGACATTTTGCCTTATCTTATCTTGTTGTTTTTAATTTTATAGAGCACCATACATTGTATACTCACATCAGACATTTATGTAGGACAGTGTCTTAGTGAAATTAGTTTAATCTGCTTGAAATAATTATAATAATAAGAAGAAACATAGATTTGCATGTGAAATTTTTGAATAAAAATGCCTTAATTTCTGCACACACAGAACAAGATGAGGAATTCCACAATTCAACAATCAATTAAATATGCATTAGTATTGGTTATAGAAGAGAGAGAGTGTCATATTCATTTGTCAGGCGTCATTTATGCAAATGAATAATTGAAATATCTGATAAAACTGCAACCTGCGGGAGGTTTACATATATATTATGACAGAGAGTATGATGTTCTTGATGTAGTATACAAGTATACCTCATCTGACCTACAAGTGTAGGAGTTCAGGGAGCATCTTGGTCTGTTTTTAATTAGTCCACATCAATCAAGCATACCAGAAGACACATCTGGCTCTGGAAATGCTTCGGATGCAGCTGTGTGAAAGCAACTCGTCATCTGGATGCAACATTGACTCCACAGGGGCTGACATGTTCCTGGCTCAGGGGCTCCGGCTCAGGCTTGGATGAGTCTCCAGTGCAGTGCCATCATGTATAGACTTGGCCATATTAAAAAATAATATATGTCCTTCTGCACATAAGATGGCGGAGGATAATGGCACCTCGTGTTAAGCGGTAAACAGTTAAAAAAAATGTGTACTGAAGCAAACACAGAGCGTCCTGCAGAGCTCCGAGTGACATTTTCAGGTCAGGGAAGTGTTATAATACGTTATATGACTGCAGAACCATAAATGCTCACCTCAGGCAACAAAATGTTTACCTTTCACAAACTCACATTCCAGCCTGTCAGCCCCTCTCCACTCCTGAGTGATGTTATACCTTTCATTAGACACCCAATAATGACAACAAGTTTTAGAATCCACTTGGATCATTGTTCTGATCTGTCTCACTTCAATGTAAACGTGGATTTACAGTTTGTCATTTCTGAGTGGAGATATGCACTTGTTATCAGGTTTGCTATCAAATGAGCTGTTATTGAAACTAACATTATTTTATTTTTACAAAGATAATTCACAACTTTAATAATGCAGGATTGAAGTAGTGAACCATATTTCCGTCTATCCATGCAGTCTGTAATCATCTCGTTTCCAGCAAAGAACCAATATGGAGAATGTTTCTTAAAAATGTACAGTTATGTTAATCAGGTTGTGAAGCGGTGGCTTTGAATATTTTGTGTTTCTTGAAATGCTGACTATTATTCAGTATTTCCATGGCAACAAACTGACTTTAGAGCAGCTTCCAGGGTAGAAAACCATTTAGATAACCATTCTGTATTTCACAAAACTGAACAGTAATATTTATCAGGTTGCAAAAACTGCCTTTTGATATTTGGGGTTTCTTGAAATCTTAATTATTTCTGTATTTCCACGGCAATGGGTTTGATTTAAAAACTGTCTGTACTTCTTTAAGAATATTTAAATAAACAGAAATGTTGATCAGGTAGTGAAGTGAGGAATTTTGACATTTTGCATTTATTAGCTTGGGTTTTTTGAAATTTAATTTCTTTCTGTATTTCCATGGCAAGAAGAGTGATTTAGTCTAATTGAGAGTAAAACATAAAGACTGTCTGGAATTTTGACTTTACACAAATATTCATCTGGTTTGAAGCAATAACTTTTGATATTTCTGGTCTCTTAAAATTCGATTTTTTTCTGTAGTTTGAGTGATAGTATAACCTCTTGACCTCAACAGACGAGTGTGAGCTGTTATGTCATCAAACTAATTGAGACCATGTCCTTCAAGTCTACTCTGCTCGTGTTACGGGAGAGCAGAGAGCAGCTGCTCCAGATGTGAGCTGTTGTGTCCCAAAACTGATGTACTTTATTGGACTCAAATGATCACTGTTAACTCGGAATTGATTCTGAGAGTCTATAACCTGTTTCCAGTAAAAAAAAAAAAAACAACAACTGGTACAATATTACTTTGTGAAAGGAGAGAAAACATGTCTGAAAGTAGAAATGTAATGCTTTAATTTTCAGTATCTAAAAAAAAACTATATACAATATAAATTATGTTTTAAATCATGTGATCTCCTGGTGAGTCCTGTTATATAATCGGTTAGAAATAATAAAGCCCATCAATTGTAGTTTTCCATCTCTGGGCTATGTGTCATGTTACATAATCTGCCAGGAATTAATGTGTGAGTGACATAAATGGATCATTCTTTGCCAAGAATGTATATACATATATATATATATRTGTGTGTGTGTGTGTGTGTWATGCATTCATTTCCACATATATGTATTTCATTAGCATAAAATAATAATAATTATCAGTCATAATAAAGCTGGCTCTGTCAGACACGCCTCATCTTAGAGCTTCATCCAAAACTTACAGACTTTACATTTTGTTCAACTATTTCCACCCATGAATATCAAGACATTATGTAAGATTAGAAAAAGACATTAGAAAAAAATGCAGTGGAATCCTATCAACTCCTAGTTGATTTTATTGTAAAAGAAAAGGTTCTCGTATCACTGCTGATAATATAGGGGTTCACTTAAACTAATGAACCAGGAGAAAATATAAGCAGCTGTTAGCTAATAAATTCGATATATCTGTTTAAATGTTGATACGTCAATGTTGTGTTCCCCAGGCAGCCGATATTGCAGCTTTAAAAAACATTATAGTTTTATGAACAATGGGTTCTTTGGTCCTACATTTAATTCCAGCATTTCTAGTCTTCATGAGCACTTTACATCATTGCTGCGCACAATTTCAGGGGCTGCATAAGCTGAAAAGGCAGCAATGGCCGAACCGAACATGTCCGTGATTTGCGTCACTGGCTTGTCCCGCTTTTGCCTAGCAACAGAGCTTGATACTTGCATTTGAAAATGTAAGAAACAGATGTTTTGGTCTTGTCAACGTCTTTAAGTACAATGAACCCTGGGAAAGGATGCATTTCTCAGCTGTATTTAAAGGAGCCTTCGAAATGGGAGAGCCACTCGCACCGCTGTGATGCATTCAGTCTTTAAATGCATCCCCGGATTTGAGATACAGTCCACGTCTCATTCACCCACG